CAATATCACCATTTCCAACCCATCGTCTTCTAGAAGGGAAATCTGGATCATTCATCAAGTCCAAGACTCCTTTCCAAGTCATTTTTCTTCTCCACCATTAGATCAAAAGCTTCATCAATGGCCATCATTTAATGTCGACCCTTACACATGGATCTAGAAGAGTTCTATTTATGTTTGCTGCTATATTATTTTATTATTTATTCATGTTGGAACGAGGACTCTCTGAACTCTATATAAGGAGGTTCCCTTCCTCATTGTCAATCATCAACTTTTCTTCTATTATATACAATACAACAAGAGATCATTTTTGCAAGAGCTGATCACCTTGTGCTTCGAAGCATCTTCTTCTTTAGTTCTTTCGAGTTCTTGAGAGAGAGATCTTCACACTCCAGTTTGCCTATTCATTGCGATTAAGAGGAATAGTTAGAGTCGTATTATTGAGTTTGCCTTTTCATTGCCGGTAGGAGGGTTCGATGGGATATATCCAACTATCAGGATCATCACGCCGCCTTATCATCATCTATATAACCATCCACACCATCTTCACATGAACTTATCAGGTTTGCGTTAACCTCTATACCTACCGGGGTAAATTTTCAAAGATGTTTTTCACTTAATCTGACCATCTGATTTTCGATCCGTCTTCACCATCTTTCTCATCCTCTTTTAAATGCGCCACCATCCATCAAAATCATACCACAAACTAATTTGGGAACCTATTAGAAGGGATATAAGAACATCTTTCTTCATTACAAGTTTAAATCCTTGTATGTATTTATTACCTTGTTTTCTATTGTCTTTAATTGTCTTTAATTTTATTACCCTTGTTTTATTTGTCCTAATGTCACCTCTTTGTTGATTTTCCAACAATTAAAACCTTCCTTAAAACCCTAATATTATTGCCACCTTCCAAGCACCCATTCAAAGTCCTTTATTTCTTAATCGAGACTAGAGCCTGCTTAGGTTTGTTTCCTCAAGGAGTGCAACGTATACATCATCTATTATCACTTCTCTATCAACATCCTTTTCCATTGGGAAAATACTCATGGATCGGATTACCTTTGTATCATCCTCTTAGAAAACTCTTCAAACCTTGTGAGAGTCGCTTCTCAGTTGTCTACTCACCATTAAATCTTTATAGAATAAAGGTTGGGTAAATTTATCAACATAAGTGGCAAAGAGTAAGACCATTTTAGATCACCCCAATAATCTGCATGGATACGAGCTTCACCATCGACCTCACCCTTTAAAAGTAGCATTCTTTAAGCGCTTCTAAAGCCTTAAGCATACTACACCGTGTAAATTAGGCCTTTTCTACAATTTTAGCATCAAAGAAGTGTGAATTAGGAAAATACCTTGTCTTAAAGAGATGATAGATGAGTGAGGTAGGATTATGGAGGAACCTTCAAATTTTATTTTTAATAAGTTCAAGGTTGAAGAGTTTTAACTCTTTGAACCCCATATCCTCATATCTTTTAGCTCAACATATTTTGTTCTATGCAAGTAAAACCCAACCCCTTCGATCTTTTCCCCCCGACAACCAATACACATGTATACCTGAGGTAATAACATCGATTACACCATCTGACAACAGGTAACAAGCTATGGTATATGTAGGAAGGGCTTAAGCCACCAACTTAAGAAAAACCTCTCTCCCACCAAACAAAAGAAAGTTTTTTGTCCACCCATTGATCTTTTCGTTCACATAATCTTTAAGAAAACCTAGAACCTTCATTTTGTTGCACCTCATCAAGAGGGGGAGGCTGAGATATATACCAAGATTGTCAACTTCTTGAATGTTAAAAATCTCTTTAATAATCCTTCGGTCATCAAGCTTGGTGCAAGGAATAAAGTAAATAAGTGACTTATCATAGTTGATTTTCTATCCCAAATAAGCTTTACATAGACTTAGGACCTCTATCATGTATCATGCTTCATTGATGGAATTTTTACAGCTATCATCCGCAAGTGATTCACTCTTGGTCCTCTTTGACTCGATCGAACACCTTTAATTTATCCCTCTCGTTTTGCCGAGAGCAATATAGAAGATAATCCCTATGAGTAAAAAAGGAACAAATATAGGGAATGAGGATCTCCTTGTCAAAACCCCTCCCTAACTGAAGAAACGTGAGATATGTCAATTAATTCGAACATACTAAGAAACAATGAAAATTTATTCCATACTCATGTGAATGAATCTCATATCGAAACCCATTTTCTCTATAACGCAAAGATATAAAGCGACACAAAATAAAGAAGGATTAGAAGGTAATGTTTATGACCAAGCTTGATAACTGAAGGATTTTTAAAGAGATTTTTAATGTTCAAGAAGCTGACAAACCTGGTATATATCTCGGCCTACCCCTTTTTGTGAGACGCAACAAAATGGAGGTTATGGGTTTTCTTAAAGACAAAGTGAACAAATGAATCAATGGGTGAACAAAGAACTTGTTTTCGTATGGTGGGAGAGAGGATTTTCTTAAGTCGGTGGCTCAAGCCCTTCCTATATACACCATGAATTGCTATATGTTTATAGATTGCGTAATCGATGCTATCACCTCAAGTATAAGTGCGTATTGGTGGTCGGGAAAAAAGATCGAAGGGGTTGGGCTTTACTTGCATTGAACAAAGTATGTCTGAATAAAACAAATTAAATAAATAATGTACTACGATATAGATATATACCTAGAGTCGCATAGACTAAGTCTATTTTTAAATAAGAGTAACGAATTGTTTTTGCATATTGGAGGTTCCATAATGTGAGTCACAAATAAAGGAAATAGTTTTGCAATATTTGCAAAGCGCCCTCTTTTTTCCATCTTTAGTCTCAATCAAATTAATAATGAGAAAATATTTTCAAACCTGACTTCATTTCTTAGGAAAAGATTATGATTCTGCTACAACATTATTAGTATCACTTGGAACCTCACATGCATTAGCATTTGATCCCATGACTACAAAAACAATGAAAAATATTGTTGGTACTAAGTTGAACCTCACATGCACGTCAAAGACACATAATGAATCACATAAATATATTAATAAACATGTAATAAATAGACACATAATTTTATTAATAATAAAACCAAAAAAATTGAATAAAAATATTTAAATAAATAATGTACTACGATACAAACATATACCTAGAGTCGCGTAGACTAAGTCTTTTCTTATATAAGAATTTTTCTCGAGTGACGAATAAGATACTCGAATTAGGAGATATGAAATAAGATAAAAGATAATTGTTGTTACCTTTTTTATTACTAAATATTCTTGCACTTAAAATAAGTCTAATAATAATTATTAATAATTATAGTAGAAAATCATATTAATTTTTAGTATAATAATGATATTTAATAGTAAAATTAAAAAAATTAATAGATTTTAGTAATAAATTAATAGTGGTAATTGTAAATAACAATGGAAATAACAAAGTGATACTAAAATAACTAACTAAAGAAATTAAATTAAAGTGAAGCATGAAAAAAAAGTGAAATATGATGTATTTAGAGGTTATGACAGCAAGCAATACCAGTGTACGGTGTGCGCGCAAGAGGGAAGGAGGAGTTTAGCACTGGGTGAAGACTGAAGAGGTGCATGCATGTGAGAGTTGAAGCAGAAAGCGAGACATCTGCGCATGATAGTTGGAGTTGAGCGACGATTAAAATAAATAAGACTGAATGACGGAAGAAATTCTTGAATTTTGAATTTCTTGGATTAAACAGGATCGTACTTATTGTTATATATATAACATTTATAAATATATAAAAAAAATCTTATATAAATAAAATTATACTATAACTTAAGTAATGAAATTTATTTTGATTTTTGAATAATATTTATATATTAATATATAAAAGAAAGTTTACTTTAATTCGAACGAAGAAAGTTATTTTGAATAATAAATTAATTTAAATAAAATTAATAAAAAATATTATATTTATAATAAAAATAAAAATTTACTTATGTTACATAAAAAAATAACAATAATAAGAGGAATAACACTATAACAGTGAGATTGAAAACAATAACAAATAAAGTTTACTTATGTTGCTTATAATAAAAATATTAGATTTATTATGAAAATAACATAAAACAACTAAAAAAAGAAAATAATATATTAATATTAGATTTATAATGAAAATAATAAGAAGTTTTCTTATGTTACAACTTAAAATTAAAACGTAAAAAATAAATTTATGTAATATTTTTTTAAAATTTTAATAAAAATATTAAATTTATAATTGAACATAAATATTTGATTAAAAATAATAATAAAATATTATTATTTTCTTATAAAATAGTTCTCATTATAAACTTTTTGTACAAAATCAATAAAAAAAATTTGGTAACAAGTTTTAACGCATGTTATAGGTTCAAACCCTTAAGATAGTAAAGGAGTTCATGAGCAACAAGAAAATTATCAGACATTTGATGACCTGGGACAAATGAACATTGATCCCTAGTAATACAAATAGGCATAATAAAGCATTTAAGACGATTGACAATAATCTTTAACACCACTTTATAGATGATCGACTATACTAGGATTGAGGACAGGTGAATAAGAATCTGATTCCCTTGGTTGCTTCTGTTTAGGCTAGATGGATGTTTTTATTTCTAGAGCAGTAGCTGATACTAATAGCGCGGTCTCATTGTTTATTCAATTCTAAGGCCTCCGACAACGAAATTCAGATGATAGAAATCTAAATATGGGTAAGAAATCTTGTTTATTGAATTTCAAATTCCAAATAAGCACAACAATTAAGATAAAATCTTGAAAATGAGGCTTTGCTTCTTCTCCTGCAACTTCTGGGAAGAAAGGTATTTGTGTTTCTGTTTCTGCTTTCTTTTACCAAGTTTACAAAAGATGATTCAGGGGAAATCACTTCCCTTACAAGTTCAAAACTTGGCTTTGATTTCATCTAAAATTCAATTGTTAAATTAATATTTTATTTGAAATTTAATGGTTAAATTAATATTTTACCTAAAATCAAAGGATCAAAATAAAAATTAGTTCCTTCTACTAAGCATGTCATGTCATCAAACTAATACATGTAACGGCTCAATGACCCAGATGTTATCAACCGATAATGTAAGCGATCAAAAGCGAACAAAACCGAAAAGAAAGTGGGCATTATGGTAGTTCACCCATTATTTAATTGACTTCATCTACCATGAGTCCATGACAAAGAATTCAATATAAGCAATTCGCCTAGGTTGTTGATGGGAAGCAGAATCATTATGAGTATCTGAAGCAGCTGCTCTTGCTACTGAAACTAAATGCTGAACTTTCAACATCCCTCCTCTCCCGATGCTCAACTTACTTCCTCTGTTATCAAATTAAAACTTAGTTCCTTCTACTAAGCATGTCATGTCATCAAACTAATACATGTAACGTCTCAATGACCCATATGTTATTAACCGATAATGTAAGTGATCAAAAGCGAACAAAACCGAAAAGAAATTGGGCATTCTGGTAGTTCACCCATTATTTAATTGACTTCATCTACCACAGACTTGACAAAGAATTCAATATAAGCAATTCGACTAGGTTGTTGATGGGAAGCAGAATCATTATGAGTATGTGAAGCAGCTGCTCTTGCTACTGAAACTAAATGCTGAACTTTCAACATCCCTCCTCTCCCGATGCTCAACTTACTTCCTCTGTTATCTTTAATAACACTGCTGGGAAGATTCGAGGTTATTGCTCGAAGAAACTTGTATTTATACCTGCCGAGTTGCAAGAACAGAACAGATGATGTTGATTTGCCCAAGTAAAATGCTAAATATGATGTAAGGAAACACACCTATAGGATACTTGGTGATCACAATGAAATGCAAGCACTAAATCAGTGTTGACATAATAGGTGAAATCTATCTGCATACAGGATGATGAGTGGTAAGCTTCCGAAACCTCAATTTTGCTTACGAATGTGAAAGTAAAACCAACACCTGCAGGTCTCCATGGCCTTCTCCTTTAAATGTAACGCATGGGGGGTCGGGCTGTACAATGATCTCAATGCTCGACCCCGGCCATTCTAGATCATCCATTGCTTCCTTCAATGCTGCAGACTGAACTATATGGTAATTTGCAGTTGTAAACAATTGCTTTAATGAATCTAAGTGGGTATTCAAAGAAGAATGAATACCAAATAGGAGTGTGGAAGAGCTCAAAAAACCCATAACATCAGAAAAATAGGAGTATACGAATTTGAATTCTGAAGCAGCCATTAACAAATGTGTGCAAAAGCTTCCTATGTTCTATCTTATATGATAAGATAATACAATACCTTGACAGTAAAAGTAAGTGGTGTGCTTCCAGCAGGTTCGAAGTGGTAGTCCCACGAAATTGTATCTGGAATTCTCGTCCTTATTTCCGCATAAATGCATACATCATGCGAATCAACAGATCTAATAACCATTGAATAAAAAAGGTCAAAAACAGGGATTTAAATAGCGGTAGCAGTACCGACCGCCACAATCATCGCAATAGGTTCCACTATGTCCACAATCGAGACAAATGCAACACAACCGCAATTTAAATCCCTGATAAAATACCAAGAGCTGAGTTTTACAATGCTGAAATCAACTTTAAGTATGGAAGAAGTAGCTTTACTGAACTCTGAATTATGGACTTTTTTGAGTAGAAATTAATATCACTTGTTGATGGGGTCATTCCAAATTAGAAATTACAGCCATTGAACTAAAATATAGCACACTGAAATGCACATACTTGAGAAGAAGCTGCATATCAGGTCCTGGGTACTGAATCTCAATGGTACTGGAACGTCCAGGCACAGAAAATGAGTTCAAGCAGTCGACAAAGAGCCCCAAGCTCACTCCAAATCGAGGTCGACCTTCAGCGTTATATTCATAACGAACGAATAGCTGCAAATAAAGATGCTCAAACTTGCGAGATATTAACTAAAATGAAAGCAGAAAACAAGTACCTCGCGTTGAAGATACACTTTGGCTTGAAGACAACCAGTATCCTCCAAGATTACAACCAAACCGTGCTCTGACAACTCCACCACTGCGTCCTACGATTTTAGCAAAATTTGTATGTTGAGAGATCCCCAAAACCTATAAATTTTCGAAACACGCATACACAGACCTGATGGCGTTTCCAGCGAACGGCTGATAGTGCGTCCACCATGCCATGGACGCTGTCCAACTGGCATACCAGATCCGGCGCTTCTGCTTCTACTGCCGATGAGGTCATCCCTCTCTCCCCTCTTCTTTTCTCGCCAATTCTCCCTGAGACCTAATAGACCCAATCCGATTCTTATTGTTTAAGCAGCAACGGTGTGATTGTATAAAAATTAGGGTAAAATAGTTTTAAATTGCTTTTGAAAAACGATTCAAAGTGATGTTGGGAAGTATTTAAAAAAAAAATTCAAGTTTTTAGTGTTTGATATTACTATGCAAAAGTATTTTAGTATGAAAAATTTGTCCCTTTCAAACCATTTATTATAAATTAAAAATATATTAATTTAAATCATTTTAAATTTATTAATATTTTAATATATAAATTATGTCAAATTAAATTATAAAATATATAAATGAAAAATAGAATTATAATAAAACATAAAATGAATTTAAGATTTTTTTTTGGGGCAAAACTAGTATATAATTATTACATAAATTATAAAAACAAGTGAATTTAAAAAAATATTGGGCAAAGGAGTGGTGTCCATGCAGCACAGTAAGGGTGTGTTTGGTTGGGGGAATGTGAGATTCTCATGGGAATAAAATTCACATTCCCCCGTTTGGTTAGTCGGGAATGTCATTCCCGATAATCTTAAATTATCAATAGTGGATTTTTTTGAGGTATATTACAGTGAATGTCATTACCTCCCTTTCCTTAGGTATTGTTAGATTACCGGTGTTTTGGACTAAAATGTCCTTAATTGTTTTTTAAATATCATTATTCTGTCATTGAATAATAAAAATTCTACGAAGGTTAAATTACAAATTTATCCTTAAACTATTTTAGATTTACAAAAAAATATATGATTAAAATTTTATATGAAGTTCAAGGGTTAAAATAAAATTTTACCCTTTCATTAAAACTTTTTATATTTTTCAATTTTGTGAAAAAAATTATATAAATTTTATGAATTTAATTTTTTTAAAGAAAATATATAAATATTTTCCAACTTGTTAAACAAACAAATATATAATAAGGACAATTTGGTTAAATATACATTCCAATAATCTTTTATTCCTTTAACCAAACACGGTAATCTTACATTCCTGCTAAACCAACCAAACACAAAATACAATATTCCCAGTAATCCTATTCCCTGGTAATCTTTTATTCCCACTGGTAAAAGTACAATTTTGCTTTGAACAAAAATTTGAATCTGAAAATTAGAAAATTCAACTTTCACAATTGGTTCAAAATCACAGTTCTAAACACACTTTTACCTTTAAAATTTACCAGTTTGGTAATGATTTTTCTTTCAAACCTAGCATTTAGATCAAAAATGTGTTTAGACATTATTACCAAATAAACCCTATAAGATATACCATTTAACTTTAGACATTATATAATTCATATAATTGATCTTTCAATTATTTCAATTAAAGTATTAAATTTTTTTTTAGTATTTTACTCGAATTTAGTGATATAAATAATACAATACCTAAAAATAAGAACCAAAAGTTTAGTGTTTCAATTGAAATTATCGAAACGGTCCCCGCAGCTTTTTAGGGCTTTTTCAGGATCGATCCAACTTAATATTGGGACATGTTGGGTTTTAAATAAATACATAAATAGAAAAATTTGGAGTCGCCGTCGACCTTTGGGTTAGGTAGGTCAAATACCTAAAAATATCTTTTAAAATAATTTTAAGAAAAATAATTTTAAAAGATAAAAAATTGATTTGCGTTTGACCAAAGATTCATTTTGAAAAGGGTTCGAGAGTCGGTTACGTGTGGGAAAGGATTAGCACTCCCAAAACGTCCAAAATTGGTACTTAAGTGATTATACATCATCTAAATATTAAAATTGACAAATTCAAATAACATTTAATTTATGATATTTTTTAGAAAAATAAAAAAGAAAGTATATTATTTTATACGAATAATCCTTGAAAATACCTTCCTAGTAAATTAAGGAAGTATTTTTTATGTATTCCTCATATAAAATATTATTACCCTAAATTTTGGATACAATATATAAAAAATTAAAAAAATTATTTACAACTTAAGAAATATTATTTTATTAATAAATTTATAAATATGTAAATGAAGAATAAAATTATAAATATAGTAATTTTAGGGATTAAATTATAAAACTAAGAAAAGATCAAGATAACAACTCTAAATAATTAATATTATAGGTACTACCATTTTAAATAAACCTATAATATTATAAAAATTTAAAAATATTAAATTAGAAGATTAAATTACAAAGCATCGAAAGTAATGGTAGTAAACAAAAACATCATAAAAACGAGGCACTGACAATGTAATTTAACCATGAATAAATTTCAGGCTAAGAATAAAAATTATTAAAATCTAAGTACTAAATAGGGTATTTTACACAAAATTCATTTAAATTAATTCAGTGACTATAATATAAACAAAGTAAAATTTGACATCCAAATTAAAATAAACAGAAAATTATTACAGGGACTAAAATGGAAAGTTACAAAATCAGAGGGACCCAAAAAGTGATTTACCCATACGCTAAATACGCAGAAACTCTCTCCCCAAAATGACATCGTATAGGGATGGGTATTTATCCCGTAAAACTGGCCCTAAATGACCTTATCCCTCTCGTTTTACTCTTTCACTTCTTTCTCTAAAAAGAGAGCCATTTTCTTTAGCTTCTCTTTAAAAGCTCTTGTCGGAGGTAGACTGGCAGCTATTGACCACTATTCATCGGTGTTCTCTGTCGTCGCCGTCGCCGTTCAGAGACATAAAAATTCACCTAAATTCAAGATCTTTAGTCCCTAAACCCAAATCCAACATCCCCTAAGCCTAAAAGTTTTTCAAACATAGTAGATCTAATTTTATACCTTTGAACTTGTAGACATTAATTTTTCCATTTTAAAAATTATTATTATTATTATTTTTATTATTATTATTATTATTATATATTATTATTATTATTTTATTATAAATAATTACAAATAAATACATGCCCAATTTACAAAGAACCCGACCCAATTACACGACCCAAATATAGTAGACCCGACCCAGATGGCCCAGCCAAACCCTAAACCCAATTAGGGTTTATATCATCTCAGCCAGCCACTCAGTTCACAGCCGTTGGATCTGGCTATGATCCAACGATCCAGATGGCCACATCAGGAAACCCTAGGGTTATGATACCTAGGGACTACGATCGTCACCGCCTCCAGAACAGCCACACTGCCGACACCTCCACTGTCAGGTGCTCCACTGCGACAATACCACCATGCCGCCGCCTCGCTGAAGACTCCAAGAGTACCACGAAGTCACCCACGTCGAAGCTATATGGTGAGTCACCACATAGTTCGGTGACTCACCGGAATCTACTCTTGTGACCGGTCCAAGCAGAAGACCGGGGAGGCTATAAAGCCATCACCAAACCTGTAAAATAACGGAGAAGAGAGGACAACAAAAACCACCAATAACCACAGAGCAGACGAAGAACGAGAGAAGGAAAAAGAGAGACAAAAACAACAAGCAACGGAAGCAACCACCAAACTACCGAGAGCAAGTAATACCGAATAAAGCACGAAAAACAAACGAAAAGAAAAGGATGGAAGACTTACCATCATCAGACCTTTGAAACGTCACCGGAAACCTTCGGATTTCGAAGGTAAAAATCTAGATTTACTCTGATTAGGAGTTTTTTAGGGGAAACCAAGGCCAGAATCAGCATTGGGGGGTAGTCGGGGCTTCATTTTGGTGTAAGTTATTATTTTCCGACCATCGAGGACGGTGGCCGACGGCGGTGTCAGCGGCGGTCGACCGGTGACCGGTTTCCCTCCGGTGAGGGAAACCTAGAGAGAGGGGAGAACATTTTTCATCTATCACTTTTAGAGAGAGAGTGAAAAGTGAAAAATGAAAAATAAAAAGAAATGGCCATTATGGCTGACCATTTAGGGTTTATATACCCCTTCCTAAATGATATCGTTTTGGGGAGGGGTATATGTGTAATTTTGACTAAAGGGATAACCATACCCGCAAACATCATAATTTTGTAAATTTTCATTTTAGTCATTAAAATCGAATACTGAACTTTATAATTTGGTCTCGTAATTTTAAAATTATTTTAATATTTTTCCCTTTTCTAATATTTTTAAATAAATAAATACTTTATTTTATAATTCATAAAAATTATTTTAATATTTTTCTTCCTTATAATTATCCGATTAAATATGAAAATATCATAAATTAAATTTATATTTGAATTCTTAAATTCTATTATTAGAGACAATTTATAATCGAAAGGGACCAATTTTGGGCGTTGTGGGGGTGCTAATCCTTCCCAAAACGTAACCGACCACAAATCCATTTTTATTATTAAAAAAATGAATTTTTGGTTAAACGCGGACCAAATTAACTTTTAACTGATGTTTTCTTAAAAACTCTTTTAAAAGATGATTTTTAGGTATTCAACCTACCTAATCCAAAAGGTCGATGGTGACTCCAAACATTTACTTAAAATTTCATTTATTCACCTTATTTTTCCGCCAAGTAAAATTTTGTGCCCGGACGAAAACCGGTTACGATAGCTTGGCGACTCCGTGGGGACCCTGGTCAACCTAAGTCAATTATATGTTTTCTCTATAATTAGAAATTGAGAATCCAATTTTATTTAATTTTTTATTCTTTTTATTTCCTTCAATTATTTTTTTATCTTTTATTATTTTTATATCCTTATATATTAATGTTTATATTTTTGATTTTTTTAGATATTAATTTCTGTGTGAAAATTTCTCCTCACACACAACACATACATTGCATGAACATAAGCTCTATAATTAAGCTCTTTCCCTTTTAAGTGGAAGTGAAAGCGACGTCTTCATGAGAATTTATTCTCCGTGTCAGACTTAGCAAGTAACTTTTGGGGTTCATATGCTCTATATATTCGTGAGAATTTATTCTCCATGTCAGACATAGGGAAATGTGTCCCCTCGAATTGAACTCGATTCGCTTAAGTCTGTAATGTACTAGGATTGAGGGTTTGGCAGCCCAAGGGGGCACCAACAAGGATAATTTGAGTACCTTTACTCTTAGAACCGAACCCTGTATATAATAAACCCTAGAAATTCACCCGATCTAAGACAAGACTGAACCTCTGTC